ATCGACCCAGTCGATACTTGGATTTGAGCCTATCCCAGGCTGGGAATGTGTTTGGAGACACAACAAACTGGGATTGATACTTTCAGTATACGTGGACGACTTCAAACTTGCAGGGCCAGCCACCAACTTACATGCCGGCTGGGATCTGATCCGCAAAAGCGGCATTGATTTAGACCCGCCTACTCGGTATTCTCAGTACCTTGGCTGTGGACAACAGGCTTACGACGTTCCCCAGAACGTCTTCGACAAGAGGATGTCTACCATTCGACCTATGTTGCCTACGCACATTGACAAATATTACCACACAGCTAAACAAGTTCGTGGAGTACGACATGATATGCTTGGCTTTACTGATCAATGTATAGAACGCTACCTGGAGTGCGCTTCCAAGCGTACCCAAGGGCCAGGGTCACGTCGTAAACGGTCTGACTCCCCGAGGGCTTCGCGTTCCACATCGCCTAGCTCCTCCGGGTCGGTCGCGAGACCCACTAGCGCGCTCAACGCACGGTCACGATCATCCAGCCCAGCTGGGTCGGTCGACAGACCTTCTACTGCGTCGCAATCCACGACAGTCACATGCGATGACCTACCCGACGCAGAGACTCCTGGCATCGAGGACACATTTTTCACCGAGTCCGATTACACCGACGAGGGTATCCTCGGCCAGGACGCAGCGAGTGTACTGATGCAAATTCTCTATCTGGCACGTTGTTGTCGTTTCGATCTTTTGCATCCAGTGTGCATGCTAGCCAGAGAGATTACCAAATGGAATACCACGTGTGACAAACGCCTTCATCGGCTGATCTGCTACATCAAAACGACGCGTACCCATTGTCTACATGGATGGATTGGCGACGCTTCGGATAAGCTATCCATCATGCTCTTCACCGACGCCTCGTTCGCTGACTGCATTACCTCATCTAAATCCACGACTGGCGTCTTCGCGGCGCCAGTTGGACCCAGCGCGTTCTTCCCTGTCAACGCCGCGTGCAAGAAACAGACGGTCGTTTCGCACTCATCCACAGAGTCCGAGATCGTTGCTCTTGACTCGGCGCTACGACTGGAAGGACTACCGCTACTCTCATTCTGGGAGGCTGTGGTGGAGGTTGCCAGCACCTGCAAAGAGAAGACGACATGCCTGGGCTGCCTGGGACGCGCCGCTGCGGCGATATGTCCGACTCTGGCCGCCAAAAAGAAGAGGCGCAATCCGTCGCCTCGCAAGGCATCCCCTACAAGGGGATCTTCTCCTAGCCGTAGGCAGCTACCGCTGAAGATGGAGCTACCTACGCCTCCAAAGAGGCGCAGGATATCCCACGAGGGTACTGTGCCCCACGTGGACCCAGAGCCTGCTCAGGAGAGCAGCTCTCCCAAAGTGCATCTCATCGTCCTAGAGGACAACCAGGCCGTGATCAAGACTGTCCAAAAGGGACGTACACCAGCACTTCGTCATCTTCATCGTACTCATCGTATTAACTTGGATTGGATACGTGAGACATGCCAATTCGAACATATTGAGCTCAAATCTGTAGGTGCAAAAGACCAAATTGCAGATATGATGACTGAACATTTCGAGCCGAAGAACGCAGATCTCTGGAGGGATTTATTGGAACTCTCGCTCATCTTCCCCGTTGCCCCTATGCAGTGTGCGCCGAAGAATCCTTGGAGCCCGTTACGAGGGCCCCCGATGGTTTACCTCATATCGCAGAGCCTCCGAAGCTGGATGGATGTCAGCACCCGTGCGAGATATTACTTACTGACAAAGAAAAACGGGGGGAGACAGGGACAGCACGCGGAAAACTTTGTGGGGCAATCCGACCACGAGGGACTACGTGCATGTTCATGCCATATTGGTGTTCCTGCTGCGGCCAGCGATTCTCGCCAACCCCGCGCAAGGGCTCGCTCACCACATGGTAGACGCTCTCGTCATCCCTCGTCGCCATCTCACAGTACAGACAGGTCTAGGACACTTCTGATACGACCCCGTCGCAGCTGTTTTACCACTCGAGCGACGACGCTTACCAGCATCTTGCTCGCTGTGCGCGAGACTCGCTCACGAGAGATCGGTTCTACCCCCGATCCCCCCGTTCCAGAGATGGATCAGGCCTCGCCTCTCCACCTCGCGGGCTGGGCCGTCGGCTTCGACGCCAGCTACGACCCGGGGGCCAACGACGACGATCGCGTGGGATTCACGTTCCACGGTCAGACGGGCCGCCCTCGTGGAGACGACGATGGTTTCATCTACGTGCACCACCTGCGCCTGGACCACAGCGCAGAGTACGATCTCCGCGCGCCGGGCGACTCCGCCATTGTCGAGGTCACCCGTGCCGCGTCCATGGACGTGACGGGTCGCAGCGGCAACGCTACGGGCAGGGTCGGCGGCAACGCCCACTACGACTACAGTACAACCGCGGCCACGCCGTGGATGTCGTTCATGAAGGCCATGTGCATGATCTCCAGCCTCTTCACGCGCAACACATCGGTCCGGGAAACATCCGTGGTCTACATGATCACTTGAATGCTACGATCCCTGGGTCAGGTCGCAAGTGTCCCCCAATGGAGCTTGCGACGCGAGTGTTGACAGCGGATTGGATGATGATACACAATGACTGGTCGAAAGTGGGCAGTGCATTGCTGGGGCAATATTCCCTGGACACAGTCCAGGATACCGAACAGCTGTACACGGAAGGCCTTTTATCTGCCTCCCGACATTTACGGCGACGGTTCGTCCACCCCAAGCTATGCTCCGAATCTTGATCGTGCAAGGATCAAACTCCCAGTGCGCCCACCTGGTCTGGCCAGGACATCCGACACGGCGGGACACATCGGCCACATCATCGAGGGCCATCTTGTCACCGAGATGCGGGCATTCTCCGACCTCCACCAAACCAGGCGCTTCCGCCGCAAGCTCAGCACGTGGCAGACCACGCGCGGAGGGTTTGGGGGAATCGGCTCGAGCCCCAAGACGGTGGCAACCCCATCTGACCACCCTGACGGCTGGAATGCCCTCCCAGAGTATGGCGAACAGTACTGGCAGCCATATGAGGAGGGATCTGTGCTCCCAGGAGAAGAGCCCATGGTGAAAGACCTTGATATTATTCCAGGATCAGCCATGGACCCGCTCGAGTTGGCACAGGCGAAATACAGTGCGTTTTGTGGTGGTCGGTTGGTTTCCGCTCTTATGTCAGAAAGCGGATGGCTTGGCATGATGCAGGAGGACTTGGGCATGCTCCTCCACCATGCCTTCGGTCCTTCGGGACACGCGTACAACTGGACAAAGTTGTACACCGACTCTACGTGGATCATGCACAAGAAAGGCTCCAAAGCCAACCCGCACAAGAAGTATCCAGGGCACGGCATCGACGAGCTCAACAGCCCACAGCAGCGAGATGCACTTGCCAAGGCATCCAACGTTGGTCTTGTGCCGCTCATCATGCCATGCCTCAATAAAGCAGAGTGCATGGGCGGCGCCACCCTCGAGCATCTGTCAGTATTTATCCGTGACGACATCATGATGTGGGCGTTCTCGCGCGGGAATTACAAAGAATTCTCCAAACAGAACGACACTCCGCTTTGTCAGGATTGTATTTTATTGCCAGAGGCTGGTGGCGACACCCGCTGCGATATGGCAAAGCTCCGTGAGCAGCCCGCCAGGGCACAGGACAACCGTATCGCAGCTCTCCTACAATCGCAATACGAGACCACGCTTGGGCAGCGCAACATGATCCTCATGATCCGCAAGACCAGAGCTCTGTTCTTGATGAACGACAATCGTTCAATAGAAGAATGGCGTAAGCTGAACGAGGTCATATGGGAATATGGGGCGAACGACTTCCCTGCATACGTGAAACAGCGACACTACAGTAGGGGCCTCGATGCCGTCGCGGTCTGGAGTGCAAACGACATTGCTTGCGCCAGTCGTGGTCAGCACTGCTTGGACACACGACGCCACCAGGATCGTGCACCCACTACCGTACGTGAGCTCATCAAGATGGAGTGCCAGGAGGGCGTCCCCAAGCTTATGCCGCTGCACCTGAAGGTGGACGTACCACGTCTCGTCGACGTGCTGCAATACTTCCGTCGTCCCACCGTCATGGGGCCTGGCAAAGCCGCGCAATGGGGCGTACATCCTACATTGGATCTCCATTCTAGCGACCTGACCAAAGCTATGCAATGTCGTGGTATTGTAGTAGTTCCTCCCGACCACTGGGTCGAGTCGTACGACACGGTCACGCCCGCGGCCTGGCATGCAACACAGAACAACCACAATCTGGCATTGATGACGACTCAGTTTTGTGATGCGGTATGCTATCGCAAATTCTGTGCGTTGATCCAGTCATTACCATCACAGCCGTATTAATTTCGACCTCCACTCCTGACAGCCGTCACAGAATCGCAAGCCTTCGCACAGGCTAAGGAGATCATGGATGCTCTTCACTTTGACTACCGAGTGGAGGAGGCATCTCAGCCTCACGACGCTGATGAACCAGACTGCAGGGGAAATGGCTCATTGTGCTTGGATGGCTTCCTGCGCCAGTGGCACGCTACCGCAATCCATGCCGCTGGCAACAAGCGATCCATGGCATCACAGACGAGCCACCACCAGCGAATCCAGCGCAATCCAATCAATCTGACGATCCATATTGTGGGGCATACGAGGAGCTGTACCACCAGCTTCTCCTCCTGATCGAGGATTCCCCGGGCGTGTGGGCATCCTACAAATCGGACGAGAAAAAGGAGCTCCTTCACCCTACAATAGTGAAAGAAGCCAAAGATGCGCATGCTCTCACATGGGTTGTCTACGAGCAGTTCTTGATCCAGATCAATGACACTGCTGGGGCCAGCGATACAAATAAGTCACGTATCATTGCAGAGCGCAATGTACTGAACTCTCATCGTGTCGGCCCTCGCATTGACAACGCAGATACCATTATAGCATGCAAAGGCTTCTATACCCAGAATGCCTTGGGGCTCCCGGCTGAAGTGCCGCAGCCGGCCGCCAGGCCCGCTGCAGCGCCGCCCGCTGCAGACTTTGCGACATCTGCGGTGCAACCGCTCAGCGAGGACAGACCGCCCCTGCCACCAGGCCCGCCCCCGACCGCCGCGCCAGCTGCGACCCCAGACATGGGTTCGCATATCGCCTCGGACGAGGACGCTGACATGTTTGCGGGGCTGGATGTGATTCCTGCTGACAATGCGCCTACGCCTGGCCAGCAATTGGAAACTATGCATATATCATCGCGGCAGGACTGCTGCGAGCGATCTTTCCATGAGGACACAAGCCAGATACCTACATTCAACAATGCATACACTCCTCGTGAGTACAAGCTGCAGGCTGGTCTTACGGACGATCATCCATACGTACCGCCTCCGTTGAGGGGCACATCCGCACGCAATGGCATGGACTGCGTTATGAACGACGACTGGGCATCTCAATCGGCTTACGACGACTGCGTGATTACCCACGCGCCCGACATTGCCCAATCCGGCTGTTTCCCAGAATGGAAGTGCATGTCACTTCCGCCATACGACCAGATCCGTTACGGACCCGACTTGGTTACGCAAGAGTGGTTTGGCGATCCTACGTATATGAGCAAGGATATCACGACCATGCTCCGCCATGCGAACCACAACAAACCCTTCCATATTGACCAATTTACTGACCGACGGGTCGACATATGGTCGATGAAGGCACAGCAGTCCTGGACGATTCCCAGCCGTTGGAAATCTTTCCAGGAAATGGTTCAATGGAAATTCGCAGAGCGTCGTGGTCAATCCAGCGGACCATCCACTGAGGCGGCCGTGGCCCACTTCCATAAAGACGGCGAACCAGCAGGATACGAGTGCTGGACTGATTACTACCCGATCTTCATCCTTCGCGCGTTCCAGAAACACATCGACCCGGAGAAGAACCGGATCGAGGTATATGCCAAATCAGTTCCAGCCGAGAGTGGCCCCAGCTGCTTCGAGTGGAGCAGCGTCATTGCTATCCGATGCGTTGGAGGACACAGTTCAGTCAATCCACTCTCCAGGCCATGGAATATGGGCTGGGAGAGCTTACAATGGACGGACGTCAAGTACCTCCACCACGCCACGACACTTCGTGCCTGGAGAAGCATCCTCAAGACAGGGATCATTCCTGGCTACGTCGATCAGTCCCAGAGAGACAGACGGCAAAAAGGATCACAGCGTTCGGAGGCATTCTACAGTTCAAGCACCTGCGTGCATATTGCCAAACCGAATCCTCACACCTCTGTTCAACCGTACAAGTTCATGCACTACAAGAACGAGGTGGAGCTCATGATCGACGTGGAGTTTGCCATGAAATCAGGTTGCAGATTTTGGCTTGGCGCACAGGGCGCTATCATGACTGAGGACGTGGTTCCAGCTGCTGCAGTCCTTGCCATTCGCCGTGTCACAGGGCACCGCGAAGCAGACGAGCAGTTGTGGCCAGAGAAGGGCCCCAGCTGGGACTATCCGCCGCTGTCTCAGAGACCACCATTGAGCAAATACGAGATTTGCGCTATTTCTCAGCAACAATCACGACAATATCAAATGGCACAGGAGTTCGAGGCGGATGCGATCGCCGACCCTCCTGGGATTGCCCAGACACTACAGAGTGCAGCCCCAACTGCGAAGGTCTACGCCACGGCTCCACAGCCGCGGACACAGTCTGCCTCAGCATCATCGGCACAGCAACCTATCGCCCCTTCGCTGGGGGCGACCCCTGCTGGCCATACTGCTGACGCCGACGCCTTAGATGAGGCCATCGTCCGTGCGATGGTCAGCAGTTGTGGGCACAACACACAGGATAAGAACTGGTTGACTGCAATGTCACGATGCACAGAGGCTCTTAGACCCATCACAGCAAATATTACACAGAAAGACTGGGATCGACGGCTTTTTTTCAATGACGTCCGCATGGGGGACTTCATCATCGTCAAAAATTGGTGATCAATTAATTGCTACCACTATGACAATCACTACCCCAAGGGCGACTACAGCACGAGAGCTCGTATGAACAAGGGCCACATATACGGACCAGTCATACATTTCGGAGTCTTCGAGAAGTTCTTTTCGGTACAATACCTATCCTCAACTACGGTCTACGATGGGTAAACATATGGTATTGCGACAAAAACCTGCCCCTCAAGGGCATTGTCTTCGCTTTGCCAGTGCGCGCTGACATCGACCCTGTCCACTGGAATGTAGCGATCGAGGGCCCGTGTTCGTGCAGTGGTAAGATCGCAGAATTCGCCAGTACAGGTGCTCTGCCGTATCTTGGACTCCCGACCATCTACAAGCCGCGTATCCCACGTGCGCCGACAAGACGCCCCGCTCCTCGGACACCTGATCCCGACCAGGGGCTGGTGGCGACACCCGCCGACGATCCTATGGCGGGCGACGAGGGAACGCCACGCGAAGCGGGTCAATCCACTGACGCTCCAGTCACTGTCATCATTGACACTTCTACCATACCACTAACAGACGAAGAGAAGGCAGCCAATGATGCCATGAGGGCAGACATGACGGCGGAGATTCATGCTGATGAGGATGCCGGATCTTCCATCCTCGAAAACATCATCGATCCGCCAGATAATTTCCTCAACCACCACGACCACGACCCAGACGGTCATACTAAATGGATTCTTTCCTCTTACGACCACCGAGTGTATTATTGGACATCGGTACCACTGATGGACTCACCGATGATCCAGGTTAAACAAATTATTGAGTTACACGCTGGCAGGACCAGCCTTGTATTGGACAAGATAGGGTCATACTTGCGATTTGAGTTCCGCTTCGGGAGCAATGCAGAGGCATACCAGATGGACTACGACCACATTCATACATGGGCACGTGATTTGCCAATATGCAGCGCAGATCATTTCTTCAAGAAGATGGTACATTTCCTCGACGCTGAAGTTATTCAGGAATCAACTACAGGTATCTTCTAATGGATTTCCCAACTGTACCAAACTATCTTGTTGGATGGTATCAAGGAGCTACATCAATTCACCAACGCTCCCACCAACGAGAACCATCCTGCTCTTACTGCGATGCGAGCACTCTTCACAGAGTGCAGAAAAAAGACACATGGATACCCAGGCTTCCCCGTACGGGAGGAGCCGGTGGCGACACCTGCCGCGCCTGACCAGGACGACCCAGGCGCCAAGAAGGATATTCCCCAGGACCCAGGTAGTGTCGCTTCAGCAGCCCCAGATCAAGAGACCATGGTGCAGGTCTTGGCCGAAATGCAGCACATCGGCCGCGAGGTGGGCGACGGCGAGACCACCCTTCAGGCAGAGGCCGCTCGCATTCGTGCGGACATGGCCGCATCCTACGATCAGACGGACTCCATGGACATCGACACTTCCGAGTACGCAGGATTACCGGGAGAAAGGCTATCGCTGACCGAGATCGAGGGGATCGGACGATCGATCGCCTTTCGTGCCACCGCTGAGCTCAATCGCGAGGCGCGCCTCTGGCGCGCAGGCAGGGATGCCCGCTGGGCCGAGCGGCGCGGCCGCTGCGCCACAGCAGAGCGGCGGACGATCGGCCCACGCCCGCGACAGCAGTCGCAGGCCGACGACGCCCCCGCGTGCCAAGCGGGCGCGTACGACAGAGGACTACGCAACGCGGTGGCGCCACAACCTTGAGGACAGCCGATGGGGCCCAAGGTACTGGAGCTACTACGCCAAGTGCTGGATTTACATTGCGGAGGACAGCGACGAGTTCGTGTACACCCGCGACTTGCAGTACAATGATCGGTTCCACAACTGAACCCCAAGGACGCCTTGGGAGACGTACACGACAAGCTACGTCGGGACCGACGGCTACAGAGTGTGGGACCACAGGTTCTGCATGAGAGGCAACTCGTAGATGAGTTGGCCGCAAGGCCCACTGCTCGATTTGGCTTGAACTTCATCTTTACAGTGTTCGCCTCGATCAGCGAGTACTCATACAATATTTGGCCACTTCACTATACAAGATAAGTGACCACTCGCATACATCTGGTGAAACCCGAGGCAAACTCATAAGGAGTATCGCCGAGGGGAGTAGCCGATTGAAGAATTTATTTATGCAGTTTTCGTGCTCGTCAACGCGATTTTGCGTTGGGCCCAACATTTGTTTTGATGATTCGACGTGTTTCTTAACGCGATCGTGTTTCTCAACACGACTTGACATCACATCCTTTTGTTTAATATGCACAATATAGGTTGGACGATAACTTGGCGTCGGGATTGATCATATTCCCAGCTTTAGTTTGAAAGCTGGCGGCAACACCTGCCGCGTATAGACGCGGCAGCTTCTGATGTTGCTTTAACTTACTCAGATCCTCTTGCTCCGCCCACCCGTGCCTCATTCGTCTCCGCTCTCGAGTGCCGTGATCGGGGCGCTGCTGAAGCGATGCAGCTTTTACGCTCAGCTGCCTTCCAGTGCTGAGGATTTGAGGAGTAAATGGATGACAGGTTCTTTTCTCCTTTTCCCGAGTCCTGCCCTTGCGGGCGGGATTCGGGACGGGGTGTGTGAATAGAGCCCGTATAATCCCTTCATATGTACTCCTTATCCTCACTCTCCTGCGCCTGGCCGTTTTGGCTCAGGTATTGGGTTAGATCGATCATATCTTTGATCGTGCAGGATGAAAAGATATCCATCTTTCCCTCCTTTCCTCTACCAGCGGATCAGGGGTTCTGTGCCTTTGTACTTCAACCCCATACACAACCTCTCGGCGACGGGATGCTGCCCTTTGCGGTGCCTGCTGCGCCAGTTGCTCCCCCACCTCCGCCTGGACTTTCCCGTTCGGTTCGGGCACGCATACGCCGTGCTCAGTCCATAGAGGAGCGTACTCGGGACACCGTGGAGTGCCTCAACCTGCTTGGGGGCTACACCACGCCGCAGTGCACGCCAGAGCGCCTCTCGGACATGGACAACCTTCTTCTTCGACGCGTTCGCGGCCTCTACCGTCAGATGGAGGCGCCCGCTGGCGCGTCGGCCCAGGAAGCCTGCTCAGAGCTTATGGGCCGCCCGTGTCTACACTGCGACACGTCCAACGACCTACCGCTGAGGTCATATGCACCACACCTCGCGGGCTGGCCCAACCTGGGGGTGTTCTCCGTCGCCAAGAAGGACTCCCGTATCATAATGGTTTTGGACTGCAGGACGAGCAACTAACAGTTTCAGCCTTCTCCGCCCGTAAGCCTCATCTCGGCCGCGGGCTTCGCGGATCTTGAGGTGCCGCCTGGGACCTCGCTCTACTTCGCGGGAGTCGACGTGCAGACAGAACGCCTTCTACCAGCAAGCCCGCCTACCTGCGCCCGCCCTTCTGCCTGCCCGCGGTGGCCGCCGGCGAGTTAGGGGTCAGCAAGCTTGACGGCCGTCGCGTGGCGCCGTGGACGCGGCTGTATCCTCAGTTGGCCGTGGCGCCCATGGGTTGGAATTGGGCGCTCTACTTTGTGCAGCGGGCCCACGAGCGCGCGCTGGACCAGTGCCCTGCCTTGAGGCCTGAGCCGCGCGCCGTGGACTTCGAGCCGCCCCCCTCGCCGCTCTCCGAGCCCGCCCACTCCCTCTGCGTCGACAACGCGCTGGTGGTGGGGACGGACCGCGAGGAGGTCACGCGCGTGAGGCGGCTCGCGCCCCAGACGCTAGAAGCGGCTGGTCTGGCCGTGTACGACGAGTCCGACGCCGCGGAGGCCATGATGATGCTGGGCGGGCAGCTGGAGGGCCGCCCTGCGCGGGCGACCTTGGCGCCACGCCGCTTCTGGAAGCTGCGCCTCGGGATCGGCTTCTTGTTGCAGCGACGGCCGCGGGTCACCAGTCGCGACGTCGAGCACCTTCTTGGCCACTGCACCTTCGCGGCGCTCTGCAGGCGGGAGAGCATCAGCTGCTTCAGCGCCATCTATTGCTTCGTGCAGCAGGGGTGCCAGCGAGCGCGGCCGCTGTGGGCTAGAGGAGATCTACACGCCGTCAAGCTGATCCTGTCGGACACGGATTCATGGGGGAAGAAACACGTTGTCTTGGGGGACAATCTTGCGCTCACACTTGCTCTCTCGAAAGGGCGATGCCGTGACATTTACTTGCTCAATATTCTTCGCCGAGGGGCCGCCCTTGCCCTTGCCACGGGGGCCCGCATCCACCGCCGATGGGTGCCTAGCGAGTTGAATGGGGCCGATGGCGCCGGCCGAACCCGTGAGCGTGCTGACGGCGCCAGTGGGACCGAACAAGCTGGCGAGAGCTTGCCGCGAAGGGCCGGCAGTTGCGCCCGCGCCGTGAGACTGCCTGTCGCTCGCCGGCTGGCGCGGGCCCCCCTGGCCTCAGAGAAGCTGCTGCCGAGACGGCCCACGCGGGCACCGCGACTGGCTGGACCACTGGACCAGGCTGCATCGTCGCGTGTGCCGCCCGCCAGTGGGGCGAGCCGAGACCCTGGGCGGGCGCCCCGGGTCTCTGGCCCCCCGAGCCCGACTGGCTCGTGCTGTGGGGCCTCTCACGCAGCGACTGGAGGCGCGGCCGTTCTTGCCGAGCTTTGCGCCGCCGACGGCAACCACTGTCCCGCTGCGGAAACTGCCGAGGTCCGTCAGGCGTCGGCTGGACAGCGGGGAGCAGGCGCGGGACACCACTCGCCAGCTCTCCATCACCGAGACGGCCGCTGTAGGGAAGCGGAGCCGCCACCAGTATCGCAATCTGCTGGAGCAGTTCTTGCTGGCCAGCAAGCTGCAGACGCTGGGCGTGGCTGCGCCCCTGCTGGGCGCCGCCGGGGTGAGGTTCTTCGACGAGCTCTACCTGGCAGGCAAGGCGGCGTCCACAGGCGAGGCTGATCGCCGCGATCGCCATGAACGTGCCCGACTGCCAGTCGAAGGGCCGCCTGGCCTTGCCCCGCGCTCACCGCGCGCTGCGAGGCTGGCGGATGCTGCGGCCGTCGCGGACGCGCCGTCCGTTGCCTTTGGGCCACCTGCATGGGGATCGCCCAACGCCTGTGCCGAATGAGTGGCAAGAGGGAGATGGCTCTCTACTGGCTGCTGATGGTGGGCACCTAGCTGCGACCTGGGGAGGCCTTCCGCTTGACAAAAGGCCAGGTGCTGCCGCCACAGGCCAAGATGCCCAAGGTTACGATCCACATCAACCCCGACTACCTGAAGAGGCCGAGCAAGACGGGGGATATGGACGAGACGGTCGACATAGCCAGGCCATGGCTGGCGTCGCTCATCGTGAAGCTAAGCCAGGGCCAGCCGACCGACCCCCTCTGGACGTTCAGGATGCCAGAAGTGAAGAGGGCCTTCGAAGAGGCGGCCAGCTCGTTGGACCCCGACGGGCTCAGGCCAGTGCTGTACATGGGCCGGCGCAGCGGGGCCTCCATCGACCGCTTCACGGGGGGGATCTCGTTGCTGGGGGTCCAGCGGCGCGGGCGCTGGAGGCAGCCCGCCTCGGTTCGCCGCTACGAGAAGCGAGGCCTGATCCAGGCGGTCTGGTCGCAGATGACAGCGGCAGCGCGGGCCTATTGCCTGCGCGCGGAGGTCGAGCTGCCCGTGCAGCTCAACAACGTCTGAATGAGAGGCTTCGCTTGCTCCCGTCCCGTGCCAAATGTGGTCAGTTCTTCTTCGTCGAAATCTTCTCCGGTTCTGAGCACTTCTCGAACACCTTGAGAAATCGTGTTTTTTTATGTTTTCTCTCGATGTGTTGCAGGGCCCAAAAGGAGACCTCCTTCGGCCCGCTGTCTTGAACCGTATCATTCGCGTGATTAGACAAATGTATCGGGCTTCTTGCGGGCTTTCCTTGTACGAGTTTCTCCATTGCGCGGGGTGGCCACAACGCCATCCGCAGCAGTGAACACCCCCTCGGCCCCCCCTCCCTCCCGCCTCCTCTCCAAGTCGTGGTGGACGAGGGCAATAGAATACTACAGGTGTCTATCAAGATCTTCAAAGCTTGTCAGCAGGTGCGTGTTCCTTCTTATGGGAGAACCCACAGTCATCCTACATCTGGAAAGTAGATTCCGCACGGCGTGTTTTTCGTTGGCCTGGTTTCCAAGACGTGATTACTACTTTTGCGGCTGGGGTGAGCCCTGGTGTAAACCAACCAGGTTCCGAGTTTTCCTGCTTCCTCGGGCCTGCGATCCTGCAAAACGGTATCGACCTATCCGCGGGCTTTGCACGTTCTCCGGGAGGAAATATCAGATCCTCCAGGGCCGTGACGGCCTCGGAGTCCATTGGACCGCTCTTGCCGCCGCATATCCCAAACCCCTGTGTAATGCGATGGCCGACGTGTTCCTTGACGCCGCTTTTGATCGCGTCCTTACGCAGAATCTCCGCTCTTTCCCCTTCCGCCCCTCCCACCCGCCCCATTCGTCTTAACACCAGTGTGCCGTGCTCCAGAGAACCGAGTGCGATCTTTGGATGCTTCGAAGTCTGGCAATGAGATTGGTTTCAGCTGTCCGTTCGCTGCTGCCTCCCTTGTCGCCGCCGCTCTCGTTTGGGTCCCACATGCGGATGACAGATACCGCTATTCTGAAAAATTCAGGGCGGGTGGGGAACCTCCGGCTTGGCCTGCGAACGTGTAGGGGGTGCAGCACAGAGTCCGTTCTATTTCGCTCAAGCCTCCCGCCCTGTCTCGTCTCTCGACTTCCCGCCCTTGCTCGCGGCGGGCCGCGAGCACAGACTTGAGCGGCAATGAGATTGGTTTCAGCTGTCCGTTCGCTGCTGCCGCCCTTGTTGCCGCCGCTCTCGTTTGGGTCCCACATGCGGATGACAGATACCACTGCTCTGAAAATTAAGGACGGGTGGGGAACCTCCAGATGATGATGATGATGCTGATGATGATGATGCTGGTGCTGATGCCGATAATGATGTTGATGTTGCTGATGCCTAGGATGATGATGGTGATGATGATGATGATGAGGAGGAGGAGGAGGAGGATTGTCACCGCTGCCCTTTAAGGCACGGGTAATCTGTACCGTTTCGTGCCCTACCAATGGTGGCATGCTATGTTCAATTGCACTTCCAACTCAAATATCATGCACTGAACTATCTGCAACATACATCATGCTACGCTGCGTGGTGCATGCTGTTCGACATGCAATGCTCCATCTTTGCAACCACATGCTGCTACATCTCGCATGCTGGGTCCCACTTAAGGGGACGTATGATCGTGCCAATACGCACGGCGTTCCTGCATGCTGGGTCTCCGTTAGCGGACCTAAGATCATGCCCGTATGCACGACGCTCCCGCATACGCGACGCTCCTCTCACCCTCTTCCCTCCGTTCCTCTCCATCCTCCTCCTCTTCCTCCACCTCATGCTCACCTCGGATGCCGCATGCTGGGTCCCAGTTACTGGGGCCTGCGAGATTGCCTGTATGCAAGACGTTCCCGCATACTGAGCCCCACCAAATGAGGCCTAAGGTCGTGCCCGAATACACGACGTTCCCGCATGCTGGGTACCATTTAATGGGACCTAAGATTGTGCCCGTATGCACGACATTCCCGCGCGTTGGGCCCCACTTCATGGGACCTAAGATCGTGCCCGTATCCGCATGTTGGGCCCCAATTAAGGTGACCTAAGATCGTGCTCGTACACGCGACCCCCCCGCATGCCGGGCCCCACTCGAGAGGCCCGAAGATCTTGCCCGTATGCGCGACGTTCCCGCGTGCTGGGCCCCACTTGAGGGGGCCCCAGATCGCCCTCGTATGCAAGACGTTCCCGCATGCTGGGCCCCACGTGAAGGGACCTGAGATCGTGCTCGTATGCAAGACGTTCCCGCGTGCTGGGCCCCACTTACGGGAACTGAGGATCTTGCCCGTGTGCAAGACACTCCAGCATGCTGGGCACCACTCAATCTGACCCAATAGCGCGCCCGGCCCGTATGCAAGACGTTCCCGGGGACCTAAGATCGTGCCCGTGTTCGCGACATTCCCGCGCGCTGGGCCCCACTTCATGGGACCTAAGATCGTGCCCGTATTCGCGTGTTGGGCTTCAATTAAGGTGACCTAAGATCGTGCTCGTACACGCGACCCTCCCGCATGCTGGGCCCCACTTGAGGGGGCCGAAGATCGTGCCCGTATGCGCGACGTTCCCGCATGCTGGGCCCCACTTGAAGGGACCTCAGATCGTCTTCGTATGCAAGACGTTTCGGCATGCTGGGCCCCACTTGAAGGGACCTGAGATCGTGCTCGTATGCAAGACGTTCCCGCAAGCTGGGCCCCACTTACGGGAACTGAAAATCTTGCCCGTGTGCAAGACATTCCAGCATGCTGGGCCCCATTCAATGTGACCCAATAGCGTTTCCGTGTGCAAGACGTTCCCGGGGACCTAAGATCGTGCCCGTGTTCGCGACATTCCTGCGCGCTGGGCCCCACTTCATGGGACCTAAGATCGTGCCCGTATTCGCGTGTTGGGCTTCAATTAAGGTGACCAAAGATCGTGCTAGTACACACGACCCTCCCGCATGCTGGGCCTCACTTGAAGGGACCTGATATCGTGCTCGTATGCAAGACGTTTCCGCATGCTGGGCCCCCCTCACGGGAACTGAAAATCTTGCCCGTGCGCAAGACATTCCAGCATGCTGGGCCCCACCCAATATGACCCAATAGCGTGCCCGTGTGCAAGACGTTCCCGGGGACCTAAGATCGTGCCCGCGTTCGCGACATTCCCGCGCGCTGGGCCCCACCTCACGGGACCTAAGATCGCGCCCGTATCCGCATGTTGGGCCCCAATTAAGGTGACCTAAGATCGTGCTCGTACACGCGACCCTCCCGCATGCTGGGCCCCACTTGAGGGGGCTGAAGATCGTGCCCGTATGCGCGACTTTCCCGCATGCTGGGCCCCACTTGAGGGGACCTCAGATCGTCTTCGTATGCAAGACGTTCCCGCATGCTGGGCCCCACTTGAAGGGACCTGAGATCGTGCTCGTATGCAAGACGTTCCCGCAAGCTGGGCCCAACTCACGGGGACTGAAAATCTTGCCCGCGTGCAAGACATTCCAGCATGCGGGTTTCCATTCAATGTGACCCAATAGCGTGCCCGTGTGCAAGACGTTCCCGGGGACCTGAGATCGCGCCCGTATTCACGACATTCCCGCGCGCTGGGCCCCACTTCATGGGACCCGAGATCGTGCCCGTATCCGCATGTTGGGCCCCAATTAAGGTGACCTAAGATCGTGCTCGTACACGCGACCCTCCCGCATGCTGGGCCCCACTTGAGGGGGCCGAAGATCGTGCCCGTATGCGCGACGTTCCCACATGCTGGGCCCCATTTGAGGGGGCCTCAAATCGTCCTCGTATGCAAGACGTTCCCGCATGCTGGGCCCCACTTGAGGGGACCTCAGATCGTCCTCGTATGCAAGACGTTCCCGCATGCTGAGCCCCACTTGAACGGGAACTGCAAGTCTTGCCCGTGTGCAAGACATTCCAGCATGCTGGGTTCCAGGGTCCCACTCAATATGACCCAATAGCGTGCCCGTGTGCAAGACGTTCCCGGGGGCCTAAGATCGTGCCCGTGTTCGCGACATTCCCGCGCGCTGGGCCCCACCTCACGGGACCTAAGGTCGTGCCCGTATCCGCATGTTGGGCCCCAATTCAGGTGACCTAGGATCGTGCTCGTACACACGACCCTCCCGCATGCTGGGCCCCGCTTGAGGGGGCCGAAGATCGTGCCCGTATGCGCGACGTTCCCACATGCTGGGCCCCATTTGAGGGGACCTCAGATCGTCCTCGTATGCAAGACATGCCCGCATGCTGGGCCCCACTTTGAGGGGACCTCAGATCGTCCTCGTACGCAAGACGTTCCCGCATGCTGAGCCCCACTTGAACGGACCTGAGATCGGTGCTCGCATGCAAGACGTTCCAGCATGCTGGGCCCCACTTGCGGAAACTGAAAGTCTTGCCCGTGTGCAAGACATTCCAGCATGCTGGGCCCCGCTCAATATGACCCAATAGCGCGCCCGTATGCAAGACGTTCCCGGGGACCTGAGATCGTGCCCGTATTCACGACATTCCCGCGCGCTGGGCCCACTTCATGGGACCTAAGATCGTGCCCGTCTCCGCATGTTGGGCCCCAGTTTAGGTGACCTAAGATCGTGCCCGTACACGCGACCCTCCCGCATGCTGGGCCCCACTTGGGGAGTCGAAGATCGTGCCCGTATGCGCGACGTTCCCGCATGCTGGGCCCCACTTGAGGGGACCTTAGATCGCCCTCGTATGCAAGACGTTCCCGCATGCCGGGCCCCACTTGAAGGGGCTTGAGATCGTGCTCGCATGCGCGACATGCCCGCATGGTTGGCCCCACTTCATGGAACCTAAAATCGTGCCCGTATGCAAGACGTACCCGCGTACTAGGTCGCTGTCCGTTCTCCCGCGTGCTGGCTCCTAAGTTTATGGGGCCGCAGATCGTGCCCGTATGAAGATCCCGCATGCTGGGCACCACTTCGTGGCACCTAAGGTCATGCCTGTATGCACGGTATTCCCGCATGGTGGGTCCCACTTAATGGGGCCCAAGATTGTGCCAGTATGCACGACGGTCCCGCATGCTTGGTCCCACATGATAAAACCTGAATCGTG